AGCTTGCACAGGTCATGTCCAGCAGTTGGCTGCTTAGGGACCCTCTATTACTGCGCCTGCCACCATACCTGTGAACCCTAAATTTCCCATGTCCTCATCCTTTTAACTCCAAATTTCAGGTCTTTGATATGAGGATCCAGTGACCATGTTTAAATCCCATGTCTACCTCTTTTTGGCCAAGATTAGGGGTGAGCAAATATCTGGTCTGTTTAGCTTCTGGATTTCATAAACTTAAGATGGAAAAAAGATGGTAAATGGAAGAAGGATAAAGCAAAAGTGGTAAGGGAGAGGAGGATAAGAATTATCTGCAATGCTCATTAAGAATCCAGTTTATGATCTTTTAAGCATACTCCAAAGCTATAGTAATTAAAACAGTATGGTATTGGCATAAAAACACCATATATCAATGGAATGAATTTGAGATTCTAAGATAAACATATCCAGAGATAATTAATTTTTGACAATGATGCTAAGAACATGCATTGAGGAAATGACAGAATTTTCAATAAATAATGCTGGGAGAATTGGTTATCCACGTACAAAAAAGGAAACAAGACCTCTACTTCTCTTCAGTCAAAACAACCTCGAAATTGATTAAAGACTTAAAACTATGAAACTCCTAGAAGAAAGCGTAAGAGGAATGCTTCCAAACATTGGCATGGGCAGGAAGGTTTGCATAAGATCCCCAAAGCACAGGAAACAAAAGCAAAACTGGACAAATTGGATTACATCAAACTAAAAAGCTTATGGACAGCAAAGCAAACAAGCAACAGAGTGAAGAGGCAACTTACAGAATACAAGAAAGTCTTTGCAAACTAAACTTTGGATGAAGGGCTAATAACCAGAACACAGAGTTCAGATAACTCAGTAGTGAAAATCTCACCAATAATCCAATGATACAGTGGACAGTAGATCCAAACAGAAATTTTCCAAGGAATATATACAATGACCAACAAACACATGAAAAGATGCTTGAAATCATTTATCACTAGGAAAATGCAAATCAAAAGTACAGTGAGCGATCACCTCACTCTAGTAAGAATGACTGTTCACAAAAGTAAAGGATAAATGCTGGTCAGGATGTGGAGACAAATGCTTGCATGCCATTGGTGATGATGTAAATTAAGGTGCCCATCATAGAAAATAAGATAGAAACTTATCAGAAAACTAAAACAGAACCTACCCCTACGATCCAGCAACCCCATGCCTGGATATACAGCCAGAGGAAATGAAGTCAGTAGGGTGAAGCGACAGCCAACTCCTATGTTCTTTTCAGCACCATTAACTGGTGGCAAGAAAGTGAGTCAACCCACACATTCATCGACTTATGAATGGGTAAAGAAAAGGCATACGTAAACACAGTGGGATACTATTCAGCCAGAAAAAGGATGAAATCCTATTGTTTGCACCATCACGGATGGCACTAGAGACCACTGTATTCAGTGAAATAAACAGACACAGAAAGACAAGCACTGTACCATGTTCTCGTTCATATGTGGACTCTAAAAAAGTCAATCTCATTGCAGTTGAGAGTAGAATGGTGGTGATCAGAAGTTAGGGGAAGTGGGGGGATGGGAAAAGGTCAAGCAACAGTTACTAAGTTATAGTTAGGAGATTCTGGTGCATTATTGTACTGTACATAGCTATAGATAATGATAGTATACTGTATTTTTTTAAAAGCTAGAAAAATGCTTTTGAATGTTTTTAACATAAACAAATGATAACTGTAAAAGAATAAGTTTACCCTGTGTTAAACATTACATAATGTATATATGTAACAAAACTGCACATGGTGTCCTATGAACATGAATAATTTTATGTATCAGTTAAAATATTTTTCTTCATTTTATACATTGAAAAAAAATCTCTACTTTCTGAGTCTCATTGGTGGAGAAAGTAGAGAAATATTCCACGTATTTAACTTTCACCCCAGATGATATTTTAAAATTTAAGAGTTTCTTGAATAAATAACACAGGCACTCAAATCTATGACTTTTAGTGACTTTGCCTTTGCTAGTTGAAGGTTTGAGTCATGTCCTAAAAGGCTCTAAATGTTTTTCTTCAAATAGAGTGTTTTGATCCATCTATTTGTTTCTATGTGTATGTCTTAAAGTTGCATAACCACTACTTTAAGTTAAGAATGAATAATTTCAGAATTTGAATATTTAGAGCACTAAGAAAATATTACCTATATATTTAAAATAAGTAATAATAATTGTCACTTAACTGGCAAGACCTAAAGCCAGGCATTACTCTAAGCATGCTACAAGTCTCACTAATATATCCCTTCCAACAAACCCTATGAAATGTCCAGATTGCATATTACAAAACTAAGGCATTGAGACATTAAATAACCCTCCCCAGCTAGTGAGTGGAGCAGCCAAGGTTTGACTGTAGGTTGTCCAGTCCAGAATTTCAATCACTATTAAACACTCAGTAAATATTGATTTGTCCAGCAAAACATAAATTTAAAAATTCACTTCATTGATCATAAATAAGTCAAGCAATTGAAATAGAGCAAAATAAATAAATACAGGTTTACATCTCTACAGTGACAACTTCTGCAATTTGGCCCAAATAAACCTGTGACTGTCCTGGCTCTAGGTGGCTAACAAGTATGTTAACAAACATTTCCTGCTGAGTTCCTGTGGACTTACCAAGTTCACCTGGTCTGATCGTTACTTTTTCTTCTTCAGAAAACAGATTTACTGAAGAATAATTGTTACTCAATAAGCTGCGAATGTTTAGCGTTTACAGGTTGATGCTGCAGCTTGGACATACGCATACACCCAGGAAACCATCACCGCAAGGCCAAAGTAACAGATACATCCATCACCTCCAAAGATTGCCTTGAGTTTCTATGTTCTATTTGGTTTTGTTTGGGTTTGTTTATTCTAAAGACACTTGACCTGAAATTTAACCTCTTAAATTTTTCAATGCGTGATGCATTATTTTTACAGTGGCGTGTCTACTGTATGGAAGATCTGTACAGGTAATTCCTCTTGCATGATGCAAGCCTCATACCAACTGAACAGCTCCCATTTCCCCACCCCCACCATTCTAGTCTCTGCTGTGAATTTCACTGTTCTAGGTGCCTCACATGAGTGGAATCATGCAGTATTTGTTCATCTATGCCCAGCTTACTTCACACAGCCTAATGTTCTCAGGTGCAGCCATCTCCTCTCAGTGACAGGATTTCCTCATATGATGCGTTCCCGTACCAACTCCCTGGGGCAAATGCATCCATCATTGCGTATCTCAAACATGTACTAATAAAACATTTCACAAAATGACACCATTTTGTCAATATTTCACTTGATCAAGAGGACAACTGTGAAAAGAGTATCACATTTTCTTTATCCATGCACCTGTCAATAGACAAGCAGGTGGGTTGGGCATCTTGGCTCTCGTGAATGGCACTGCAGTGGACAGGGTAGTGTTGATGCCCTCTCAAAAGGCTGATCTCAGTTCCTTGGGATATATATTCAGAGGGGGACAGTGGGTCATGCGGTGGTTCTCTTTTGATCTTTTTGAGGTGCTTCTACAGTGTTTTCCATAGTGACTCCACCATTTTACCTCCCCTCACCATGTGGAAGAGTCCCAGTTGCTGAGCACCCTCACCAACACATTGCTCCTTATTTCTGAGCTCAGCAGCCTGTTCTCAGCATCAGGAAGCTGAAGCTTACTCTGTTTCATCGGCACCATTCACTTTTGGAGGAGCCTGAGGCAAACCTTAGATGCTTTACATAATTTTTATATAATTTTTTCTCCTCTGCTTTATATAATTTTTTAATAAACCAACTATTAAGCATTTAGATTAAATAGTCATTCACTTCAAATAAGGATTTAAATCAAATTTAATTTTTCCCACATACGGTACATATATGATAATTATGAACAAAAATATGCAACAGGGTCAGAACAGGTGTAAAGCAGAAAATAGACAGGCGGATTGAGTGGTGTGGCCGAAAGAGCTCATCTGCAGCTCAGTGAGTACAACATGTGTTCAACATGTGTTCAACATGTGTTCAACATGTGTTCCCATGTGTTCAACATGAAGGTCAACAGCAGAGGAATGTGGCCCCCTGCCCACAGCGGCACCTAACACAGGCGAACACCACCAGCTATGGTGACAGAACAAAAACAGATAATATGTGCTAAAGGACTAAGTTGAATATTCTCATAAACAGGTGGAAAAAACTGTGGACTGGATGACAGAGTGTTGTATGATTCACACATAACTGGTTGAACAAACATACCCAGCAGGGCCTATTAATGAGCAAATGTCAACATACAGTGAGCTCTCTATTGGTTCTGTGTTCATGGCGGTTTTCTCCGGCATGTTGATAAATAGTTTCGGTAAGAAGAAGGACAAGATAATTGATGAACTCTGTGATATTATGATATCAAGAATGAGAGCAAATCACCAAATAACAGAAGCAGAAGCCTGGAAGCCTGCAGTGCGTGTGCCCGCTGCCGGTGTGGTCAGTGGTGCTGTGTGCCCAGACAGAGGGCAGAGACGCACTTGTCATGACCAGTATGGTGCCTACCACATCCGCGGTAGCCCACCCAGGGCAACACATCCAAAAGGGAACTTTGAGACAGGGTTCTCCTGGGAACAGTGACCAGGACAGTGTGACTTGAGCCAGAGCAATATGCACCTTAGCAGAGGAGTTAAAGCCTACGATCTTGTGGTAGTCGTCTCCATACATTGAAAAGAATCGATACGAAATGGGACTTCAGTTTATTCTACGTCATTTCACAAGACTGAACTAAGACAAGACACAGGTTTTGATTTTACAGTGTTAGTCATCCAAAGGGAATGAGACGGAATACTGAGTTATTACATGGTGCCAGAAACCAGGCTTAGCAATCTCAAAGGATCCACGGCCACCACCCATCCATCATACAGGTGATGAAGCATAGGAAGTTAGCGAGTGACAGAGCCAAGATTCATGCCAGATCCCATGAATTACCATCCCCTTCCTACTTCTCATTACCTCATATCTGTGACTGTGTGTACGGGTCCCAGTGTCTCCTCTAAGATGACCTTGACCTCTGTGTTTTCAGCCCAGCCTTGCTTCTGAGCCCCGAAGCTTTCTCTCCCAGTGAATTGCATTATCACAGCATGACCTTTTTAGGTAACTCACTACATGTCTCCATTTGAACTTCCTGGTAACAACTTAGATTTAGCAGAAAAAGAATTTGGAATTCATCACAGTTCCCCTGTCCATTCCAAACTAGACATCTAGCAGCACCTAAGAACTCACCAGGCCACACTGGGTCAGAAGCTTGTGCGACTTCAGTCCCTGCTTTCTCACTCATTTCTTATATACAGCCAGTGGCCAGTGCCTGCGGGCTCTCAAGAGTTAATTTAATCTAGGAGATATGATAGACATTGAGAATTGATAAGAAAGCACTCATAGGTAAAGGATAACTGGGATATGGGAAAAGAGAAGGGAAAGAAGGAGAAAGTTTGTATATATGTATATGCAGGATAGTTAATACGGGTGTTCTACTGTCCTGTATTTCCTTGCTGAAAGAAACTGTCAGTGAGGCATTGGTTGATTAGCTTTGGATGTCTATATGTGTTTTCATGAGAAACTACATTGAAGATATCAATATGTAATACAATAAGCATTGTTAATTCCCTACCACTCTGTTTGTAACTCTGTAATGTCTGTACTGATCCTATGCTATTTTGTAAAATGTTGTCGGTCTGTTTATATTTTCCTCCTTTTATTTCTAAAATAAAAAAAATAATAATAATCATGGCCTGCAAAGGAGATAAACTCCGCTGCTTCTCCACTTCCTCAGCCACCGTCCCCTGCTCACCACCCAGCTGGCTGCCCTGCACTCCTCAAAAGTCTCTGCAAAAGCTGCTTCTCAGAGAGACCATCTTATTGATTATGATAGTGCCACACCTATTTTTTTGCTTATTGACTTATTATCTGTATCTCCCACTGGAACAATGCTATTTCAGAAATATAATTGGCTCTGTGTACATAGTTTTACATTTTAAGGTGGACATATTTTAAGAAGTAAAAAGAAACAGGTGAAATTAAATTCAAGAACTTATTTTACTTAACCCAAGATATTAAGAATACTATGATTTTAACATGTAATCAATTTTAAAAATTGTTACTGAAATACCTTACATTTTGGGTCTAAATTTTAAAATCAAATGTTTGTGTTGCATTAGGCACTTCCCATCCAGACTGGCCATATTTCAAGAGCTTGATAGCCACAAGTGTGGGGTCTATCATCTTGGACAATGTGGCTATAAGTAGAAGCTCCATAGAGCATAAGTTTCCCCTTGTTCACCTCTCTAAATGGTGTCCCAAACAGAGTCCAGCCTCGTTGAATGTTTTCTGGTTGCAGGCACATATAATACAATGAATTAAATGTGTGCTTGATTTTGCCCCAACACACACATACGTCCATGCGCACACACATGCACACGCGCACACACACACACACACACACACACACACACAGCTCGGAAATAGGACCAGGTTCCCAAGCATTTCTAACCATTATTCTCTATAACCAGGGGTATGTCCATAACTCTAGCCCCATTCATTGTAAAAATGAAAATAAAGCACCATAACAACAAACAACTCAATTAAAAATAGGCAAAAAATTGATTATATTTCTCCAAAGAGGACATACAAATGGGCAACAGCAAATGAAAAGATGATTAACATAATTTATCATGAGCAAAATGAAAAGCCAAGCCAAAATGAGATACTACTTCATGCCTATTAGGATAGGTACTTTAGATAAGATGGGTAGGTAGATAGATAGATGATAGATCGATAGATAGATGATAGATAGATAGATAATAGAGAAATGTATATCTGTCTCCACCTTAAAATCTTTTCTTTTGCTCTTTGTATATACTTTGCTTCACTCAAGTGAGAAATAGCATTTAAGCTTGTGTGTCTGATTTATTTCACTTAACGTTATATTTTCCAGGTATATCCAGTTTTCTATAAATGTCTCACATTTATCCTTCTTTATACCAGAGCAGCACTCAACTGTATAGAGATGCTACATTTTCCTTATCCATTCATCTGCTGACAGACATATAGGTTGCTTCTAAGATTTAGCTATAAACATTGGTAGGCAGGTATTGCTGTAATGTGATGTCTTTAGCTCTTTTGGGAAGGTATTGTGGAAGGGAAATCACTGGGTCAAATGGAATTTCCATTTTTAGTTCTTTGAGGAATCTCCATACTGATTTCCATAGTGGTTGTACCAGTTTATGTTGCCCCCCAACAGTGTAGAAGTGCTCCTTTTCCACTGCAGCCATACCACCATTTGTTATTATTTCATTTCTTGATGACTACCATTCTTTCCTATGGGATGGGAATCTTAAAAAGATTTAAAATGTTGCATACACATGTACCAAATACCCACAATGAACGTAAACATTACATGTTATAAACATGCACTAAAAATAGTTAGTAATAATACCGAAAATAGGGAAGGAGAATGTAGAGACAGAGGGATGGAGGGAGGTGAGGAGAAAGGGAAAGGGAGTGAAAGAGAATCAAACTGTGTTGTGTACATGCGCCTACTCCCTAAGACGAAGGGAAACTTCATATATTGCAAACATGTGCTAGTAAAATAAAAAATTTTAACAAGGTATAAATATAGGTATATGCAGAAAATAACAAGTATAGAAGAGGATGTAGAGAAATTGGAACACTTGCACATTGCTAGGGGGAATATAAAATGGTAATGTGATGTAGCTGCTGTGGAAATGGATAGAGTGGATCCTCACAGCAATCAAACCTAGAATTCCCACATGGCCCAGCAATCTGCTTCTGGGTATATACCCAGAGAACTGTAAGCAGGTTCCCGAATAGTCCATGGCATCATTAGTCACAATAGCAAATAGACAGAAGCCATCCATGGGTGGATGATAGATAAACAAAACGTGTGTATGCACTATGAAATGTTATGAGGAAGGAAAATTTGACACGCGCTGCAGCACAGGTACACTTTGAGGACATCCTGCTAAGTGACATAAGCTAGTCACAAAAGGACACATACTGTGTCATTCCCCTCAGATGAAGTACCTAGCAGAACCAAATGTATAGATACCGAAAGTAGCAAATGGAAATGTGGTGTTAGTGCTTCGTGGGTGCAGTTTCAGCTGGGGAAGGTGAAGCTCCTAGAGAGAGAAGAAATGACATTGGAACAACAGTATGAATGTACTTTATGCCCCTGAACTGCTCAGGTAAAAATGGTTACGGTTGTACATTCTATATTATGTATATTTTAGCACTGCAAAATGATAGCATTTATACAACATAAGGTGACATTATTCCTGATACCCTGTCACCTCTCCTGTCACACACCTGCCCCTCCTCCTGCGCATCTTCCAGACTGCAGTACCTGACTGCCGAGCAGTGCATACTGCAAAGCAGGTCTGCTCCTCTCTTTTCCCCATCAGCAGATGTGTACAGCCGGCTGTCTTATCTGAATCTATCTTTTAAACTACAGTGGTTGGAATATTTTTAATGTGATAAAATGTGAAAAGGATTGGAGAAAGCACAGGGGTGAGGGAGAGCTGTGTATAACTTGTGCATTTGTGAATTTGTATTTATACCCCAATGATGTTGTTATTTTTAAAGTCTGCTAAAGCTGGTTCCACCTGCTGGTTTCTTTCGGTGACCCAAATCTGTGTATGCATTTTCCATATGCTTTGGAGTCGGTGTACACGAGCTGTGTTGGTCCCCTGACTAGCTTTATGCAGGGAAAGTGGCACAAACAGAATCCACAGCACGTAGGACTGGGAGCTTGAAATCCCATGCCATGCAGCACGCGGTATGTGCAGGAGCTGAGGGAAGCAATAAGACCTAATAACCTCACTCACTCTCCTAATTGCTTTTTTTTTCTTCACAAAAGAACCACACCAGTGGCTCTGGTGGCCCTCAGGGAAATCTTTGCTTGTTATGAAGCCAGTGGGCAATTCTTTCATCAATGTGAAATGCTGGCAGTTTGTGTCAACAAATCCAATTTCAATCAATCAATAGACAGCCCTCCTCCCGGTGCAGTTCTCACAGCTGGGCAAGGCTGCAGAGCCAGCCTCCCCTCCTTCTACCTGCTGTCCATGCACCGGCAGGGATGCCATCGCATGGAAGAACCCCAGGCAGCCCACTCAGACTGGATGTGGCAGAGAACAGTTAGCAAAGTTGGTCCCTCCAGCAGAGAGTCACAAGTACCAGAAAGACATCGCAGTGAGTGGGTTCGAAGAGGCAGCTTCAGGCAGATCTATGTTGGTTCAAGGTCTGATTGTGCCACTGCAGATGTTACACTCTCGGCAAGTTCTTCAAGACTTTGAACTCTAGCTTCCTACTTATAAAGTGAGGACAGTAATAGTGCTGGTCTAGGAGACTGTTGAGATAAGCAAGTGTGATAATGCACTCCAAGCTCTTTGCCTGGTCCCTGGCACTGAGTAAGTAAGAGAGAGAGAGAGAAGGAGAGGTGTTGGTGATCTGCCAAGAGCTACAAGCCAAATAGGGCACTAAAAATGGGAGCTACTGTGCCTTTTACAATCATCATTAGCATCATCATCATTCCCATTGTCAGTGTTGACGTTCCCACAGAAAACAGCTCAGGACTCTACCAGTGGGGCAGGAATCAGCCCATGTGGTTCTACCCAGGCAGGATGAGAACCTTCATGAAGGTTCACAAAGCAGAGATGCTCACTGGATGCCACTGATTTTGCAAAAAGAGATATTCAACCTGCAGTGTCTTCATCAGACAGCTGGTAGATGGCCATTGGATGGAAGGTCATTCCCAGGTAACAGCGTTTGACTCCTTGAGGTTTATGCATTTCCCTGGGAAGTCGGAAAAAGCAAAGACTTCCCCAGAAAGGAGTTCTCTTGCTTGTATGGGAGATCACAGCTTTATAGATGGAGAGCCGTTCTCCTTTGGGTGCTAGAAGCCCCTGCCAGGCCATAAGAAGTTAAACATAACTCTATTTCTCACCTGCAGCTGTCACATCTAATAGACCATGGTGAGACACCACTGTCTTAGTCTGTGGATTCCCCAGGATGAAAGCAGCAGAAAAGTTCTTCAGAATAAGACACTGAGAGACAGAAACAGAATAATCAAGGCATGCAGAGCTTTATCCAAGATCCAGGAGCTTC